CACTGTTTCAGGTAAGGCCAAATATTTTTTTTTTTTTATTAGAATAGGAAATTGGAAGACTAGGTAAATTCTGTGTGCATAAGAACAAAAGTTAGTACAGGGAATAATTGTGCAAAATTACACTTGGGAAACATTGGATAGATTAGAATTACTCTGTGTATTTCACAGATAATTCAATGCCATGAGTATTAATTTTCATTAAACATCTCAGAAATGGTAGCTGCTTCTTTTATGGCTCAGTCAGAAATACCAGCCTCCAATTCTAGCTGGGTGACCCTGGGTAAATTACTTAACCTTTCTGTAACTGTTTCCTCATCTGTGAATTGGGGATAATAATAGTACTTAACCTCACAGGGTTCTTGTAAACCTTAAGTGAATTAATAATATAAAAGTGCTGAGAACAATGTATGGCATAAAATGATAAATATTATTACCTGCTTTTCTCAGCTTGGAGCCCTGGTGGCACAGTGGTTAAGAGCTCAGCTGCTAAACAAAAGGTCAGCAGTTCGAGTCCACCACTCGCTCCTTGGAAACCCTATGAGGGCAGTTCTACTCTGTCCTGTAGGGTCACTATGAGTCGGAATTGGCAACCATTTTGTTTCTGTTTTTTTCTCAGCTTGGCTGTTAACTGAGGGTGTTCACTGTTTTGGAGGGTTCGCTGTTTTTGCTGAGCAAGTTGGTGCTGCAGAGATAGTATTATTGTAGTAGAAAGAGGTTGTGGTGGTTGCTGTTTTAACAGACTCTGCTGTTCCCTCCATGCCTGGCTCTGAGCTGTGTTCACAGTTGTCTCTGTTTTGTGTTGTCTGCGAGCTTGAATGTGAGAATGGTTATTTTAAATAGCTCTCTTCATGTAGTCTTGACCTGTGTTTAAAAGTATTGGTTAAAGCGATGGACTGCTAACAGAAAGGTGGGCAGTTCGAAACCACCAGTGAGAAAGATGTGGCAGTCTGCTTGGAAACCCTATGAGGTCGCTTTAAGTCGGAATTGACTCCACGGCAGTGGGGTTTTTTTGGTTAAAAGTATTGGCTTTTCCGTAGAGTGAAAACACTTTAATTTCAATGATTTAAAATCAGTAAAACAAAAGAATGAGACCTCATAGTGTAGAATGATTGTCTTTTCACCACCGCGGGGAAATCTGCACGCAGAAGAGAGGGAGACTTATTAGTTGTATTTGGACAACAGTCAAAGTCAGTGATAATCCTGGTGAAAGAGTTGTGCCTCTGGAAAATTTTCAGAGTTACAAGAGCCAATATGTGCTTAAATGCTCTTGTCGGTTGCCTTTTCAGACATGCTGAGGACGAGTCTGCTGTGCGTTATGCTCGGGCTCCAGCAGGCCTGGCCCTTCCCCTGCCCACAAGGCTGCAGATGTGTCTTCCGGGACGCCGCGCAATGCTCCGGGGGCAGCGTGGCGCGCATCCCCGCGCTCGGCCTGCCCACCAACCTCACGCACATCCTGCTCTCCGGCATGGACCGCGGCGCTTTGCCGAGTCAGAGTTTCAGCGGCATGACAGTCCTGCAACGCCTGATTCTCTCAGACAACCATATTTCCGCCATTGCCCCCGACACCTTCAATGACCTGATAAAACTAAAAACTCTGAGGTTGTCGCGCAACAAAATCACTCATCTTCCAGGTGCGCTGTTGGATAATATGGTGCTTCTGGAACAGTTGTTTCTGGACCACAATGCACTAAGGAGCATTGACGACAACATGTTTCAGAAGCTGGTGAACCTGCAGGAGCTCTTTCTGAACCTGAATCAACTAGCTTTTCTTCCTGCTAGTCTCTTCACAAATCTGGAGAACCTGAAAGTGTTGGATTTATCGGGAAACAATTTGACCCACCTGCCTAAGGGGCTGCTTGGGACACAGGCTAAGCTTGAGAAACTCCTGCTCCACTCGAACCAGCTCATCTCTCTGGATTCGGGGCTCTTGGATAGCTTGGGCGCCCTGATCGAGCTGCAGCTCCACAGGAATCACATCCAGTCCATCGCACCGGGTGCCTTCGACTGTCTCCGAAACCTGAGCTCTTTGACTCTTTCCAGAAACCACCTCGGGAGTCTGCCCTCCGCCCTCTTTCTTCACACGCACAATTTGACTTTCTTGACTCTGTTTGAGAACCCGCTGGAGGAGCTCCCCGAGGTGCTCTTCGGGGAGATGGCCTGCCTGCAGGAGATGTGGCTGAACAGAACCCGGCTCCGCACTCTGCCCGACGCCGTCTTCCGCAACCTGAGCCGCCTGCAGGCTTTAGGAGTGACTCTGAGCCCACGCCTGAGCGCCCTCCCCGAGGGAGCCTTCCGGGGCCTCGGCGAGCTCCGGCTGCTCGCCCTGCACAACAACCGGCTGCAGGCGCTGCCCCGCGCGCTCTTCCGCAACCTCAGCCGCCTGGAGAAGGTCCAGCTCGACCACAACCAGCTGGAGACCCTGCCTGGCGACGTGTTTGGGGCTCTGCCCCTGCTGACGGAGGTCCTGCTAGGGCACAATCCCTGGCGCTGCGATTGTGACCTGTGGCCATTCCTGGGGTGGGTGCGCCAGCACCCAGGCCGCGTGGGCCGAGCCGAGCCCCCGCGGTGTCGCGAGCCCGGGCAGCGCGCTGGCCTGCCGCTCTGGGCCCTGCTAGAGGGTGACCCGGAGTGCTCAGGCACCCGGGGGCCGCCTCCCCATCCTCTCGCGGACAACACCTCGGAAGTCCCCACCCACCCGGCCCTGCCCTTGGGCTCTCTGTCCCCCGCCCACTCTGCTTTGGTGCCTATCAGCTCAGAACCCTGGGCGTGGACCCAACTGGTGGCTACCGGCAAAAGGGAAGATCATAGCCTGTTCTGGGGTCTTTATTTTCTGCTGTTAGCCACCCAGGCCATAATAACTGGGGTCATTGTGTTTGCTATGATTAAAATCGGCCGACTCTTTCAAAAATTAATCATAGAGAGGGCTTTTGTTTGAGTCAATGGGGAAACCTTACAATTATTTTAAAGGTGGCTCTAGAAGAATCCAGACGGACTGCTACTTCTGCTGTCTCCCTGGCCCTCCTCCTCCGTCTCTCCCTGCTCCTTCTCCTCTCCCTTTCCTCTTCTCCCACCGCCTCCTTTCCCTCCTCCTCCTGCCTCTTCTCAGACCCCCTTCTTCTCTCTCTCCCTGTCTTGCTTTCTTCCCCCCCCCCCCCCCCCCTTTTAAATTATTGTTGAGAATGTACACAGCAGAACGTACACCAATTCAACAATTTCGCATGGGCAATTCAACGCAATTCCCTCATCCCGGTCTTCCCCTCTTCCCCACCCCGATCTAACCTTGGCATTTGTAAACTGTGATTGCTCGCCCCCTTCTCCCTGCCCCCCTGCTGTGCTCCTGGGCACTGTACTGTGTCTGGCCCACCCTGTGCCCGTTGTGCCTGTGGGAAGGGATGCGTTTGGTGTGTGTAGCCAGTAAGGGTGCAATGAAAGAGCAGCGCACTTCAGGGCGCGTCTATCTCATGTTTGTGAGACGAATGAATGATTAAAAAAAAATGAACATACATGATCCAAGAGATGATGGTTTTTCCTGGGGGAAAGGATGGTTCGTTCTCTACTTTTATTTGAAAGGTTGCCGCCATGTTCTTTGAGTTGCTCTCCCTTGTCCTGTTCTTCTCACTCTATGTGTCCAACCTGTGGGCTGTTTTGGGGAACTCTAGATGCCATTCATTCAGGGTAGGCTTTGTCTGTGACGGGCCTTCTCTCCAGGAGCTCAGAACCCAGTGGCATCACTGCCAGCTGTCAGGGCTGGGCTCCAGAGGAGCAGTAAGGAGCAGCCTCGAGGAGGGTCATGGAACAGAACACAGTGAAGAACTGAACACGCTAAGCAGTGTGTCCGCACCCGCGCACTGACCCCACATCAGCGGAGCTTCCTGTGAGTTTCTACTTGCTTTCTACATGGGGCAAATGTGTCATTTTGGCACTAGGCTGGTTTTCATTTCCAGGAACTAAATGCCACCTCATTTCACCAACGTTTATGGAGCACCTAACATGTGAATGTAATGATAAGCTTCTAGTTCATTATGCCCAGAACACGTTCTCGTTTAGCCTTCAAATTGAAAACAGTAATGCCCTTGTTGCTTTAACTGGGTGTATGCACTTGTGAGAGGGAGTGGTTAAGACATGGGCTGGAGAGTTGACAGCCTAGGTTCAAATCCCAGCTCTGCCCCTTACTAACGGCATAGGACTTTGGGCAAGACACGTAAGTTTTCTAAGCTTTGGTTTCCTTATCACTAAAAAGGAATAAAATAGTACCTAACTCAGGCAGATTGTGAGCTCATAGAGTTATTGTGAGAATTAAAGGCAATAAAGCATATAACAATTTAGCCTAGTGCCCTGCATGCAGGGAAGGCTCAATAAATGTCAGCTGTTATTAAAGCACCCCTGGTGGGCAGTGGTTAAGAGCTCAGCTGCTAATCAAAAGGCCGGCATTCGAATCCACCAGCCACTCCTTGGAAACCCTATGGGGCAGTTCTAATCTGTCCTATAGCGTTGCTATGAGTCAAAATCGACTCCATGGCAATGGGTTTGTTTGGTTTTGGTATACTTATTAAATGACACAGCGATTATTACTGCTGTCATAATTTCCAAGGAAGAGCTTTGAGTTGGGTTTGTCGCTGTGTAGAAAGGTGAGAGCAAACTTTCAGGTAAATCGGCTTGTCTCTCTTTACCTGTGGGTGGTCTCAGCCCTGTGTGACTGGGCTCTGTGTTCAGTGGCTGTTCAGAACAACACCACTTGGAGGTGCAGCCAGAAGAGCTGGATTGCTGGCATTTGTAGACCAATCTCAAAGGTCCCCTCCTTGGTAAAGCCTTCCCTGGCTGCCCAGGGAGAATAAAACATTCGTTGCCGTGTGCTCTCATAGCAGGCTGTAGACACCCCCGACACAAACACTTGACCCCATCACCCTTTACTCTAGGGTGTCTCTGTTTATATGCCCCCTGCTATAGGCTCCTCCACTTGACCTTGTCTTGCGTATTTCCAAGTATTGCCAAATTTTGAAACGACCTACAGCATAAAATCCAGACTTTTTTTTGATAGACTTTAATCCTAACTACTATGCCCTCAGGTAAGCTACGTGGCTCTCCAAGCCTCAGTTTCCTTGCCTGCAGAGTGAAGACAATGTCCTTACCGTAGTGGCAAGGACAAAATGAGATAATCCATGTCAAAGAGTTAGTGCCTGGTGCATATTGGGGCTCAGTAGAAGTTACCTGTTGTTGTGGTTAGCTCCTTCAGAACGCACCGTGTTCTAATGCATCTCAGTGCCTTTGCACACATTCACGCATTCATTCAGTAAGTGTTTACTGAGCACCTACTTTTATCAGCACTGTTCTAAGTGGAGGGATAGAGCAGTGGATAAAACAAAGTATGTGCTTCCATGGGGTTTATGTTTTGGTATGTCCCCTCCAGCTAAAACATCTCCCCCAAACTCCTGGCCATTGTCTTCAAACATTCAGAAAAGAACAACTTTTGACATCTCAACCAGCTTTATAGAATCTTTATATTTTGGTATATTTGCTTCAGATATATTTTTTTTAAGAGAATAAAATACAACAGATGCTATTGAAGCCTCTTGTGTAAACCTCTGCCCTGAGCTCTTCCTCTCCTTGTCTCCTTAGAGGTAAACTGCTTAACAAATTTAGTGTTTTACATCCCTGTGCATGTCTCTGCACTCTTGCTATGTGGGTGTGTAATCCTGAACAAGCCGAAACAATGTTTTGCATGTTCTTAAATTTTGTATAAATAACCCTGTCTTAGCTTCCTAGTGCTGCTGTAACAAAATACCACAGACTGAGTGGCCTTAAAGAACAGAAATTTGTTTTCTCACAGTTCTGGAGGCCAAAAGTCCAAATCAGGGTGTCAGCTGTGTTGATTCCTTCTGAAGGCTCTGAGAGAGAAACTGTTCCATGCCCCCTCTTAGCTTCTGGTGGCTCCTGGCAATCTTTGGCGTTCCTTGGCTTGCAGCTGGATCTGCCTGCATCCTCACATAGTCATTCCTTTTCTGCCTAAATCTCCAGGCCTGTTCTGTTTTACATGACACCATTCCACCTGGGTTAGGACCCACCCTACTCCGGTAGGACCTCATGTTAGCTGATAAGGTCATCAAATATCCTCTTTCCAAACAAGATCACAGTCTCAGGGAGCATGGGTGAGGACTTCAACATATCTTTTTGGGGGGATACAATTTAATCCATAACAAATAACATTCTGTATATAGCATTCTTTGACTTGTTTTTGCTAACATGATATTTTTAAGATTTAACCGTATGATGCATTTGGCGCTAGGTCACTCATTTTAATAGCTGCATAATATTCTACTGAATGACTATATCACAGTTTATCTATTCTCTTGTTGATGGACATTTGTTCCCAGTGGGTTTTTGTTGTTGTTTTTTCTTGTTATTCTTCGTTACTCCACATCCTTCCCAGAATTTCTCGTTGTTGTCGATCTGACAGATGGAATGGTATCTCGTTGTTGTTTTATCTTACCTTCCCTGATAATTAGTAATGGTGAATTTCCCTTTTAATTCTACTGAATATTCAGATTCCTTCTGAGAATTATCTATGCATAAATATTGACCAATTGTGCATTTTGTATTTTACTTCTTGATTTGTAGAAATTCTTTACATATTCTGGATACTAATCCTCTGTAAGTTATATGATTTGCAATTATCCTCTTTCAGTTTGTGATTTATTTTGTTTTGCTCATGGTGTCTTGTTGGACAGAAGTCTTCATTTTAATGTAGTCAAATTTAGCAGCATAATTTTACAGTTTGTGCGTTAAAAAAGAGATCTTGTTTAAAAAATTCTTCCTACTCTCATGTCAGAAAGGTAGTCTCCTCTATTTTCTTCTAAGAGTCGTAATGTTTTGTTTTTTACATTTAAGTGTTTAATGCACATGGAATTTATTGCCGTTTAGGGTATGATGTAGGGAACTGTCTGGTTATCCAGTGCTGCTAAAACAGAAATACCACAAGTGAGTGGCTTTAACAAATAGAAATTTATTTTCTCATAGTTTAGGAGGCTAGAGGTCTGAATTCAGGGCGCCAGCTCTCGGGGAAAGGCTTTCTCTGTCTGTTAGCTCTGGGGGAAGGTCCTTGTCTCTTTTCAGCTTCGGCTCCTTGGTTCCTTGGTGATCTTCATGGGCTGTAGCATCTCTCTTCCCCCATCTCTCCTTGCTTGCTCAATCTGCTCTTTTTATATCTCAAAAGAGATTGATTTAAGACACTCCCTCCACTACTACTGCCTCATTTACATAACAAGGAAAACCTATTTCCAAATGGGATTATAAGCACAGGTATAGCGGTTAGGATGTACAGTATGTATTTTTGAGGGACACAATTCACTCCATAACAGGAACCAATTGTATATTTTTTCCAAGTGTATATCTAGTTGTCCTAGGCCATTTATTGACTAGTCTATGCTTTCGCCTCTGATTTACAATGCCTTTTCTGTCACTGAGACTGGAGAGACTGGAGAAAACTTCTGTCAAGTTTCCAACTACGCATGGCTTGGTCCCTGGATTCTGCAGCCTAATCCATTGGTTTGTCTATTCCTGTGTCATATTCACCGTCTTCATTATTGTAGCTTTAATAATTCTTAGTATTGGGTCAACACTCCGCCTTGTTCTTCAGCACGGGTAGGGCGTATCTTATCTGTTCTTGGCCCTTGGTAATTCTTTGCACATTTTAGGGTCAGCATATCAAGTTCCATAGAAAAATGTTGCTGGGATTTTGATAGGGATTACAGCGAATTTATAGACCAGTTTAAGGGAGAATTTACATTTTTTTAAAAACAATACATGGTGTTCTTGTTAGTAAACTTGGTTCATCTTTCCATTTATTTAGGTCTTCTTCAGTCTTTCAATGATGTTTTGGAATTTTTTTCTGTAAAAAGCTTGCACATATTTCGTTAGATTTATTCTTAGGTCTCCTCC